CATTTAAGTATCTTGGATTTCTCTTCTTCCGGGGAAATACGAGTGCCGGAGGGATAAATTTTCCAGTAGCGGAACAGCAACATATGGCGCTTACCAGCTGCCCCCTCTCGGCCGATGAAATTGAGCCCACTTGTTTTTTTCCCTTCAAAGAGATAACTTTTGGTGGCCGCTTTGCAGACGTTTGAATACCCGTCTCGTGCACGTTGTATATGTTGTCCACATCGAATAAATATTTTTGCCGAATGTTATTTAGATTATCAAAAAATAACTGCACTTGTGGCCTGTTAAATCCACAAGCCCGGGCAATGCTTGTAGATTGTGGAGTTCTAAGGCTTAATTCGGGATGTCGCCTCATAAAATTTGAGTACCATTGCTCCCCAGCTGATCCATTACGAAAATTATGTGGCACATTATACTCGAATGCTAAACTGCATAAGTCTTGTTTTGTGGGCCCATAAAAACGGGCGTCCATTTCTTGAATATGTTGTACAAGTTGCTGTTCCATATCGCCAGAAAAAACTGGTCTAAACCGTCCTAATTGTTTTTTGGAAGACTGCTTCAAAAAATGTTTTCGTAAGGTGGGATATGGAATTCGAAACTGCAGAGCGGCACCGCGAATAGATGTTCCTTTTTGGTTAATCGCATTTATTGCGCGATTCATTATATTTTCGTCCCATCCTTGGGCTCACTCTATTTTTCGCTTATAATTGAAAACCATTATTCAGAAACAATATTCAATTTTGAAAAAAAATCAATGTTCAACGAAATAGCGGGCAAAAGGAGCCGGGCAAATAGAACCGGTTCTTCTTGCCCGGTTCTTCTTGCCTAAAAAGTATGCAACACAAAATACCTATTCGTTATGAATGTCACGTTATGAACAGCGCCACAATTTATGAGGTTAGAGTCTACGCAAAACTTCATTTAACGCCACAAAATTTAATGCTTCAACTTATAACAATACTCAAATAATTTTTATCTATTTAAACCATGATCAACAATTCAGGACTGATACATTTTCTAAATTGGCTGTAAAAACATGAAAAATAAGCTCACCGGTATGGGTATCCAAACAAACACTGGAGAATCGCGGTACCTGCCAGAAGTAAATAGGAGATATAGGCGGGAATTTTGAAACAAAAAAATTTTGAGCTGGTTCTTTTTGCCTATATGGTTCTTTTTGCCTGAGTCTCCCCTATATGATAAACTTCTAGACTGTGATATAGGGCTATTGAATTACTTGCGCAGCAAATTTTATTGTGATTATCGGGCAAAGTAGTTACGCAATTTCTACGGGCTTCGTATTTGATTCATATTTTAATAATGATCCAAAGTATGTCTAGATTTCTAAGATGGAAAGCTGAACTTATCTGCGTTAAATCTTCTACAAATCCTGTATTTAGACACAATTACACTAATGTTTATCACTTTATATCTGTAATTTCGAACTGTAACATAATTATTTAATATTAAATAGAGGGATAAATGTTTGCCCAATATGGCGAGTGGTTATGTATAATCATGGGATCGTCCATGTTGTCTTTGGTTCATTAGAATATTTTGGTGTTTCCTGCAGGTGCTATACAACAATTTGACAAATGTCTGGAATGAAATACCGACAGAGTCGAATGATTTACCCAGAATTTATACTAGATCTATATCTTCTACTTGAACAGTTGATAAAACCTTTTGAAGCAATATGCATGCGTTGTTTGTCTTAAAGCATTGGTTATGGCATTTTAACAAAAATATGACAGCAGAAAGTTAGGTTATGGTGAAGTTGTATACCAGCATATTTAGCAACAAATGTATGCCGAGGACAGCAATTTTGTACTACAAAAGTTGTAACATTGTTGCATATGTACAGCCTTTAACAGTTACTGATCAACAGTTGTATGAGTGCTTCCCTTGGGAGCAATTTGTTGGCTAAAGTAGTAAATCTGCACAGCAAAACAGCAAGGCTCGGGTTTGTTTTATAAACCTTACCATGGATTCCACAACACAACCATTTTGACTACCATGCAAATATGCCGTATAAAATGGTGGTATAAACGTTTATGCAACAGTTAAAAATTGGTCCTATAAGGTTTTATTTAACTATGCTATAAGAATATTTTAAACACCTCATTTTAGAGCAAATATATTGCAGAAAGCAAATTTGCATTCCACACAATATTAAGCCAGCATTTTGGTGTTCAGGCAATAACAATAAAGAGCTTTTATGGCTGAACGGTTCTTTTACCAAAAGCTTATAGCACTACTTTGCTAGTTGGGTACTGTTTACCAATAAACAAAAGCAACAACGATATTTTACATCTGCGATAAAGGCAAACGGTTCCGTAGCAGTTTTGCCCAGGTTAAGCGAAATTTCATTGCGTATTGCCACTCTTGTACTCTGCTGTCTTGATTCGGGTCTAAAGGCCGTCGTCGGTTGGAATTTCTTCCTAACGTTTCGCTAGCACGAGACTGTAGTCTACATCCAGCATCGGAAATGGAAGGACCTCTGAAAAAGCTTGCCACTCGTGCTAGCGAAACGTTAGGAAGAAATTCCAACCGATGACGGCCTTTAAACCCGAATCAAGACAACAGTTTATCAACTGGCCGCGAAAGCTTTAACCAATTTGCCACTCTCGTGTTCCATCTTTGCCATTTCCACAGAAGATGTCACGAGTTGACAAACAAAGTTTACGCGAAGCCCTCATTACAACTGACCTTCATTGCGACTGCGAACCGGCGAATCCCCCGATACTGATTTAACAAAGTGAGACCACATTGCAAACGACTGGGGAGCCACACGGCGGCCGTTGTCACTACTTATCAAACTCACCCTTCATTTATAAAAAAAACTGCAGCACTCAGAAATAAACATCCGTCATCTTCAACTTGATTACACTCTTGAAATAAAGCTCCTAAACTGGAGGTAAACAATAAGCCTCAACGTTGAGATTAAAGTATTAACTCGGTAACCACACCTTCCAAGTAACAAAAATTCTATAATGGATGATTAATATGGACTTAGGCTACGGAAATATTGTTCTTTAACCTAACGAAAAGTTCTGGATCCTGTGGTAGGTAGGGATCAAGTGGTTTTGAAAAGATTTTCCTGATACGGCCCTTTAAATATTATACAGGGTGACGGGAAAATAGATGCGGAGCCGGTGGGGGGAGAAGCCAATCTGAGTCGATTTTACTATAGGAATTACTGTCCGAAAATTAGCCGTTTTCGAATTATACTAATTTTTAAGATTATATAAAATTAACGTCTTCTATATGTACGTTAACCAAGTCATAAAACTTGAAAATTTGGTGTTTCATTTGATTTTTTTTGGTTTTACAATAAAAATATTCTAAAATACGAAAATGGTTACTCAAATGTACATTATTGACGTTATCACATGCAGTAAGCTTCAAAATAGTTCAATTTTTGTTAAAAAAAATCTTCGTTCATCTCAAAAACTCAATTTACTAGAAACATCACCTACAAATTTTCCATGCAAAACAATTTTAAAATATCTACGTTTCATTACCTTTCAAATGAGGTACCAAAGTCACAAACCGGTTTAGAAATGACAAAGATATAAGTCCAACAAGAGCCAAGTCGTTAAAAATATCAAAACAGCGAGCAAACAAACTCATCCGAACGCAACAAATCGCAAGAGCAGATTGAAGCGTGGGAGGGATGGGGGTGACTAGCTTTACTTAGTCCTTACGACTTGGCTGCTGTGTGACTTGATTGTTCGTTGATCTACCTATCGATGAACAATGGCTGATGAACAAAGGAGGCGGCCGTTCAGTTTCGAAGAATTTGCCGATATCCTTTTCTACTATGGAGATGCCAGAGGTAATGCTGAAGAAGCTCGTCGTGAGTATTGGGAAATGTTTCCTAATCGTCGCCTACCTGATGCCCGCGTATTTAGGCAAACGTTCCGTCGGGTTCGAGAACGCGGTACCGTCGTAAGATATCAAGGTAAGTTTGCATCATTGATAATTATTAACTTATTATAATCAGTCATTCAGTAAGGCCTATGTAGAGCCTTGGAGGTCTGTGGGCTGAACTGATGATACTGTAACTTAGTTGTTTTGATACAGTTGATTGAACTTCTTAATTAATAGTTTATTCATTTAATTTTAACACGAGCATCTACAAGGCTCTGAAGATGGAAACATCCACACGTTGTGTATCGTTAGTTCTAAATAATATTTTGACAACTCTAGCTCATAGTCTTACCGCTATGTTTATTAGGTAATAATTTCCTCCAAAAAACTGTTGTTATTTGTTTTTTCATTTTATTTCATGTGATGTAGGTAGACCTCGACATGATGTGGAAGAGGAAGAAGAAATATTATATATTTTCCAAAGAGACCCTACTCTCTATACTCGCGCTGTGGCTCGACGGCTTGGATTATCCCAATGGCAAGTGTGGTATGTTTTGCATGCAAACATATTCCACCCTTACCACTACACACCTGTGCAAGTCATAGAGGAAGGAGATCCCATGAGGCGCATGCAATTTTGTCGTTTTATTTTAAACGCTGATGTTGAAGCAATTATTTAAGAAAAATTCTATGGACCGACGAATCAAAATTTGATAAAGACGGCATAACAAACTACCATAACGCCCACTATTGGCGTGAACGTGCAGTGGGAAATCCTCATATGAAGAGACCAAAAGGATCTCAAAGGCGATTTTGTCTGAATGTCTGGATGGGCATTATAAATAACTGTTTGGTAGGACCACAATTCCTACCCGACAACTTAAATGGAGAAGCCTACTAAAATTTCTTAAGAAATGTTCTATTTGAATTACTTGAAGACGTGCCGCAAATAAAGAATTGTGAAAAAAGTGCATTTCTTTCTATAAAAATAATCACTTATTTTGTTAGATTATTCCAAGACCATTGAGGAAAATACGGACCTGTACAATCTCGCTTTTGGGCATGTTATATTTCGTCTGGACTTAAATGGACTACGAATGGGGTAGAGTCTGTGATGATGTACTCACCATTAACAGCAGGTGGCTTTGTAGGAGTTGGTGACTTAGTGGCCAGCTCCTGCTTGTACGAAGAAAACCTCTTTTCAATAGTCTCGTCCATCATCATCTTCCAAGTGTCCACCTTTGCTATCTTACTCGGAATTATCGACGGTGCCACATCCGCAGGTCTTTTCTTGAACGCTTCCTGTTGGTAACCTCTATTGCTACTGACAGTATTACTATTTGCTACTGGTGGTACCCTCCGAGAAGCATCGTATTCTGAAGATTGTATGTAAGAGTTTACGTGGGCTACCGATGGTACTGACACAGTTGGATACCGACCCTGATACGCTGCGCTCTTTGTTTCAAATGCCGCTGGCCTGCTATTACTATGGGCTTTCTCAGGTACTGCGCTTGGCCTGGCGTCCATGTGGTACCTTCTAGCAGGATGGCTCAGCGTAGGAACATTGAAATTGGGATGGAACTCAACTTTGGGAGCCGTTGCACTAGGTAACTGAGACGACCGCTCTGTTAGGTTTCTGTTGATGGTACCAACATCCAGCTGAGGATAGTTCTGCGTTGACAGAGACGGCGTTCTGTTGAATATTTTTGCTTTACTATCACTTTCTGTATCACATAACGTGGAGTCAGCAGGGGTTCTCACTGTTTTCACTGACAGATCTAACGGTGATTCTCTTTTTATCGTACTCGCAGTCTTCGCAGGAGAGCTACTCTGCTCAACGATATTGGACGATACGACAGATTGTTGTCTGGGAGGTACTATGTTTGATTTCGGCGCTTGGTAGTATAAACTGGAAGACTGACTTTGATTCGCTGATGCATAGTAACTTGGAGTAATTGTAGTACTCACAACAGTTGAACTGGGATGTGACTGTGATACAGGATAAGTACCATACGTACTCTTTGGAGTGCTCTGAATGATAGACGTGGTTTGAGGTTGAGTATAGGTCGTAGTGATCGGGTACGACTTTGTTTTTGGTACTGTTGATTTTGCAACAGCTCTACTGGAATGATAGTTTGATATTGCTGCGATAGGAGGCAAATTATGGGTAGTTCTCGCTGATTGATCTGGTTGAGAGTTGTGGCGTACTTCTGGTTGTTGATTAGTATAACTTTGGGACTGTGACGTGTACAGATGCTTGTAGTACGGATTAGATGGCTGTTGCTGTTGTGGTTGTGTATTACTGGAATATATGGAAGGTGGTGCCTTGTAAAATATATTACTTTGCGTCGATGTTACTGGAGACTGAGGATAATAAGGTCGTGACTGAACATAGCCGTAACTATCAGAAACTTGAGGGAAATGACTTGCGCTGCTACCGCTTCTTTGCACCAAGTGTTCTTGAGATGGTACCCGAGATAATGATGCCTCTTTAGGTGCCATTTGTATGTAATGATTCGTACTTCTATGGAGTATCTCCTCCTGTGACGGTACTCTGGGTATTGGAACGTCTTTGGTACTTTGATTTGAGTAGTGGCCGACCCTCTGTATCAGCTGTTCTTGGGATTGCGACCTTACCAATGGGGCTTCCCTGGATGCCATTTGTGAGTATTGGCTCAAAGTACTGCCACCTCTATGGATCAATTGCTCCTGAGCAGGTACCTTGGACGGGTACTGATTTGTTCTTTGCATCAAGTGTTCTTGGGACGGTACCCTAGTCAACGGAGGATCCTTGGACGGGTACTGATTCGAAGCACTGCCTCCCCTTTGCATCAAGTGCTCTTGAGGTGGAACTCTCAATGTTGCCTCCTTTGAAGTAAGTTGCTCTCTTGAGGGTACCCTAGGCAGTTGTTCTCTAGAAGGTGCTCTAGGAATCTGTTGTTCCCTAGATGGTGCTCTGGGACTTTGTTGATCCCTAGATGGTACTCTGGGGATCGATTGTTCTCTAGATGGTGCTCTAGGGCTATGTTGTTCCCTAGATGGTACTCTAGGCAACTGTTGTTCTCTAGATGGCACCCTAGGGATTTGTTGTTCTCCAGCTGATACTCTAGGGATTTGCTGATACGGTGAATGCACTTGTTGTTGATAAGGTGAGTTGGGCATATAATGACTGCCATTGGATGCGGGTCTCGATGAAGGAGATTGCGCTTGCTGATAAGGGGAACCACCGGGTGCTGGAGATTTGATGGTACTTTGATGGTGGTACTGCTGTTGTTGGTGTTGCTGCTGTTGGTGTTGCTGCTGTTGATGCTGCTGTTGTTGGTGCTGCTGTTGTTGTTGTTGCTGCTGAACTTGAGAGTTTGACGTTGAGGTGTTAGAAGGTGCTTCTCGAGAATGAGGACGGGAAAACTGGAAGTTTCCTTGATGCTGCTGAAGTTGTTGTTGATACTGCTGCTGAAAGAGATATATTTCGATTAGTTGGCACAACTTTACCCAGCATGTACTAAATATTGATTATCAATAAGCGAAATTTGAATAATTTCACATAATCTACAGGTAATGGGGGAGCTCGACGATGGGCTTATAAAAATCAAGGGCATATAATATCATATTGATTATGTTTAATGATAAAGGATTCGCATGAATTAAATATTAAATGTATCGGATAGAGCAGATGAAAAGGGACGGCTTTGCCACGTGGACAGTGGTAAATGCTATGGCTCCGCGACCTTGTTTTGTTTTGAAACCGTAAAAAAGTATCAATTAAAATAGAAGCATGAGCATATTTTTCTTAAATCAATACAACGAAATATTTGGTTTCAAAATATACAAGTATTATTTAAAGTTTTAGTATGTTTCTAAAACTGAGCGCTGGTAACACCATAAAATATGTTTTGCACCACCCTGTGCGCGAGTTGGCAACACTTTTCAATGATTGTCAATGATTCGGCAGATAATTTGGAGGACAGCCTAGCCGACGAATTAGTGGAGTTCGCTTCATTGTTCAAATCTCATGTGGCCAATATTATTCGCTGGTGAATAATTCTTTAGTATTTTGTTTTCCAAACATATAAATTGCTTTGATCATTTGTGTCTCATGATCACCAACTGCAGTGGTGAATATTCTTCCTCAGTAGTAAAACGTGTTAAAAATGGGTTAAGGAACACTATGAGCCACGAACGTCTTAGTAACCTCAAATTGATGAATAATGAATATGATTTGTTCAAGGACGTCGATATTTCTAAATTTGTTCGAATTGAATCCATAAAAGTTTTGTTATATTTGATACCATAAATTTGAATACCTAAAGCAAACCAAAGGTCTCTTGATATACTGGGTGGCCGATAAGTAACTGACTGATATTTGTGAAATGAAATAAATTTTTTGCATCTCCATATTTTATTGAAACTTAGAAATTATGTATGAAAAATAATATCAGGCAAATGTCCGCCTCTAGAAGCCGCGCAAACCAGCCCTCTTGATTACATTTTCCATCACTTTTTGGTAGCTTTCGGGAGGAATATTTTCAATCGCTTCCGTAATATTGTTCATCAGCTGCTCTACAGTATTTGGTTTGTTAGCATAAACAATATTTTTCAAAAATCCCCATAAAAAAGTCGGCTAGTCAGGAGCCGTTAAATCCAGTGACCTTGGTGGCCAGTTGACATCACTAAATCGAGAAATAAAACGTCCCGGAAATATTGTTCGCAAAAGATTCATTGTTTCCCTAGCTGTGTGACAAGTTGCTCCGTCCTGCTGGAACCACATGTTTTGCAGGTTAAATTGTTGGCTGTGAGGAGCCAGCAAGTCCATTACACCTCCATACCAAACACCGCACCAAACTGTGACTCGACGAGGATGTAGCGGTCGTTGATGGATGAGACGCGAGTTCTAATGAGATCTAATGCCCAGATACGACAAATCTGCTTATTAACAAATCCGTTCATATCGAAGTGGGCTTCATATCTCACTATCAGCTGCAATATTGCATGCACGTATTGCCGATGACTTTCATGGTCACTAGACTGTAGTTCTTGGGTTAACTGAATTTTGTATCGCCACAAATGCAAGTCTTTTTTTAAAATAATGCATAATGACGTAAGACGAATACTCAGTTCTTGAGACAGAGAGTCTGGTAGACGTCTCAGGAGTACGAACATTTCGAACACGGCCAGACCTTGGCAAGTCTTTAACTTCACCTGTTTGTTCAAAGTTCCGCACCAACTGACGAATGGTGTTGATACTGGACGCATTATTTGGACCGAAATCTTGTCTTAGCTTCCCAATCGTTGCAACAATCGACTCGCTATTTAAGTAAAACGTTTTAACAATACGGACGCGATGTGGGATCGTGTAGCGCTCCATGATGAATTGGAGACATGTGGTTTAAACAGCTACTACGGCGCCATCTACTGAAATGCGTGTATCACAAATGGCGCGCAATTTAAATCAGTCAGTTATGTATTTACTATAAACCTTGCACTGTCTTAATCCGGCGCTGCAAAAAAGTGGATTTTTGAGTAAATGACCACAGGTCTCAGTCAAGGATGACTCCTTATCTCAAAAGATTTGCAGAAACTAATAATTTATTTCCAATGCCCCAGTGCGCTTCTGCCCACCCTTTGTCAAGAGTGAAATCCAGGTACTTGAAATAATTTAGTGCGCGCTTCATTTACTAAAACCTCGAAAGCGCCGCTAAAAAATGATAACCTGCGACTTCGGATGATAATTTTGGCGGGCCATCACCTCATCTACCGCGTTTTGCAGGTTCTCCTACAACTCGACTATAGTCAACGCCAAACAAAGTGGCGTGCACGTCATCAAGGTGGGTGTGTTGAAAAATTTACATTGTTGCCAAACTTTTTGTAAAATAATAAAATTTATTATTTACATATCTAGGTTTATAAGCAATATTAACCTCAAATGAGAACAAAAATAATAGTATAATAAAATTATAGATCTGTACTTGCATAATCATTAAGTATGACAATTATTGATCAGATGACACTATGAAACTACCATATTTAATTGATAGCTTAAAGGTACTGAATAAAAATCCAAATGGGGTCCTCCAAATTTTATGCATGGTATTTATTTTACAGAATTCATACAGAAAAATGCATTCTAAAATTAGGTAAGCTACTGGTGTAAGCTTTTTCTGTACAATAAAGTTAGTCGGAGTTTCTTTCTTCAGCGCTGTCTGAATCTGAATCTTCATCACTCTCAAAGTTGATTATTAAAGGTTCGATGTCTGGTCGATCAAAAATTCGTTCTCTTTCATACCATTTAAAAATTTCTTGCTCAGTATGTCGAACACTATTTTTCCACATGTCTGGGGTAACCGTTTGTAGAGCCTCGTTCCACATATCCAAACAGTCTTTTTCACTGTTACCATCTCTACCAATATGTCTGTTATAGTAACCTTTTGCTATGCCCCAAATTAACTCAATAGGGTTAAATATACAATGGTAAGGAGGCAGACGAAGAACTTTGTGCCCATGTTGTTCCGCCAATTCATCAATCACGTATATTTTAGGTGGTTTGTTTCTAAAAAAAGCAGTTATTTTAAGAATAGGAATAAACAAAAGAAACATAAACTGTCGACCAAAATATATATAATTAAGAAGCATTATGTACCGAGCAACAATACTCAATAGCTCTGTTTTAAACATTGTGTTTAAAAATGGTATGTTTTGATTTGTCAACCAGTCTTGGATATTTTTTTTTGTCCATGCATTGTTGGGCACTTTGTTCAATATCATGCTGTGATAAGGGGCGTTATCCAGTATAATCATAGATGGACTCTCCAATTTTTCTAATAACTGATGTTGAAACCATTTCAAAAAATTGTCCTGGTTCATCTCTCCATGGTAATCGCTCAATTTTGTTTTCGAAGAAAATATCGCTTCACTACCCTCAATAAACTCATTTTCATTTCCAGCATGTAATATAATGTATCTAAAATATATTAGTTTTAAATTTTATAGTGCAAATTGTGTAAAAGTACATACCTTTTACCATCTGTTTTAATAGCTTTCACGCTTTTTTGGTTTCCATTTTGCCAAGAGCGACCTATGGTCCCATTTTGAGATATCCAAGTTTCATCGAGGAAGACAAACTGGTATAAGGCCTCAACCTTGGCTTGATTGTATTGCCTTAGAAATTCCACCCTTTTCAAAGCTATACTTGGTAGTTCCATGAGCCCTCGTCGCGGATTGTCCTTAAGCCACTTAAATCCAAGATCTCTAAGCAACCGCCTTAAAGACGTGGCACTACCATCAAATAATGCCCTATCTCTTAATCGAGACCATAAAGTTTGTATCGTAACTTGTTCTTCTGAAACCATGTGTAATATGACATTATAATTTAGTTAACAAATTAATGCAAATTTCTGATAAGTTATTATAATAAGATCTTACTTTTGTGATACATATTATAGATCACTTCTCGAATGGCACTTGTATCCAATGTCGCTGTGTTGGTTACACGTTTAATATAACTCCGCTTTTTCTTGGGCGATTCTAAATTTGCATCACTTTTCACACCCTCGGAAATACGACTAACTGTCCTTAAACTAATTTTTAAAGCAGCAGCAACACGCTACAAAAAATGAAATAAAATTTCACTATTATTAATATACATTACATATAATTATTAGTAACCTACCTCTTGAACAGCATTTAAAGGCAACAAAGGCCCGTTGTTGTCCCTTTCTTGCTCGAAGTAGTGCATTAACGAGGCCACGAGTTCCTTACACCGACTATTTAACTGTTTGGGCATCTTTATATACCAAAATTGCCTTTATCTACTCGTAAAATGAATAATTTTGTTTTGAAACAAACAGTTGTTGATTTACAGTATGCGGGGCCAAAGGATTTATGAAGATTTGAAATGCCACAAATTGATTCAGTGTCAAAATTAATACAAATGTCAGTTCCCAGTTTAAATAAGTTTCAAGGTGACAATGTGTCAACGCTGCGAAATCGGTTTAGTGCGTTTACATGTCGATAAGTGATTGGAGCGTTTGCAAAACATTTTATTTCGCATAATGCGTCTAAATTTATCAGAAAGCAACTTATGTGATATTTTAATAACAATGTTTATATGACTATTAACCATAATAAGAGAGTAATGACCATTTTACAATTTATATATCACATTAATATGAAACTGCAATAGAGCAATTGTTTGTGATAGAAACCTAGGCATTAGGTCGGGGAATTTTTATCGTGATGACGTGCACGCCACTTTGTTTGGCGTTGACTATAGACCACTTGTGCGTGACATGTACCATCAACACATAGACTGAAGTCTATCTGTCGTTGCCGTGGCAACGGACGTTAAGCTAGAAAAGTGAATGTTGGATTAGTCCGAAAACTCTGGGGAATACCTAGTCTAATTGGTTGTATTGTCGACGGAGAATTATAAATTTTGATCCGAAATTTCACACCTTGAAGTTTGCATTTCAAAACGATGTGTCACTATCGCCGTGTTCAAGCAGAATTGTGGCTTCAAGTGTCAAAGGTCAAGGCTCATTGACATAGATGTTTGTAGTAAACTTGCTTAAATTTCCCTACGATGTTGAGAAACTCGTAGTTATTTTTGTTTCCAGTTTTCCAGTATGTGTTGGTATGCATGTATGCAGTAATTTATCTATTTAATACTAAACATACCAACACTTCATACATATCTATTTCTACCATAGCGCGTCAAATTACCTGCTGTGGGAGATGACGGTGTATACTCACAACAATTAGTACCAAAAATAAACAATACAAATAGAATATCAATTATATATAATTACGACAAATAATTAAGTCAAATGTACAAAAGCGATAAAATGAACCGCTCATTTACAATGAAACATTTCATGATCGGTTTTCTGACCAGTGATAATATGTTTAATGTTGAGTACCCTCTTGTGTTAATTATGTTGTACTAATGACAATTATTTATTCTATAGAGAAAATATTGTATAAGAACGATTTATTCCAACTATTTTTTTTACACCGAAGTATCCCCGCAGGCAGAAGCCTAAATGCAACACCGCGGCTCCTATGAGAATCCCAAAGAAATTTGGTTAATTCGATTTTTGAACTGCCTAAGGTTAGTAGAACTGGGAAAAGCCTCCTCTTGTAGATTGTTCCACAATCTTCGGGACAAAGGAGCGGTCGTATCTGCCAGTTCTGGATGTACAAAGTTCGACACGGCTAGGATGGGAGGCCGAAGTCGGGCGAGTCTGTCTGGTAGGTACATCGCGCGGCGGTATCATGGAGGAGAGCTCTGAGCCGGTTGGTGTAGCGGTAGAAGAGAGCTAGATTACCGACCGACCGCCGGAGCGACAGGGTCCCGAAACTGTCATAAAAAATAATGTAGTCGGAGCGGCAGCACCCCAAACGTGTGAGCAATATTCGAGGCTAGGTATTATCTGGGCCTTGAATCGACTGAGGAGGTCATGCAGAGAAAAGTACTTCTTAGACATAAAAATATACCCTAGATTTTTCCTAGCAGCTGCCGCTGTTCGTGCCAGATCAAGTCATCGGCGATCTAGACTGCGACCAGCCGAAATGAACGCCCAACTAACAATTATCACTCCTATTAGAGTTGCAAGAATGATTATACAGTATTCCTTAAACAGCATTGTATACTGTAAGAACATTAGCAAAACCTTCTTAGAACTGCTATACAAGCGGAATGGTCACACTTAATAGGACACATCAGTCATTCAAGAGGTTCTATAAGAGCTGCAGGTAACAGTTATACAACAAAAGTGTAAGCCTCATGCAACCGCTATAGGACATTTGCGTCAGTGCAAGATTCAGTTTTTGTCAACTATACAACTATTCTGTTACTTGATTCTACTTTATTGCAACCAAAACTATTTCTTATGTATTGTATGAACAATACATAACTAACACATTACAGTCATCTTGTTTACTTACATATCGGCCATTGTGAATTTCATACACAGGTATATGATAAACTTCTACACTGTGACATAGGGCTATTGAATTATTTGCGCAGCAAATTTTATTGTGATTATCGTGCAAATTAGTTACGCAATTTCTACGGGCTTCGTATTTGATTCATATTTTCATAATGATCAAAAGTATGGCTAGATTTTTAAGATGGAAAACTGAACTTATCTGCGTTAAATCTTCTACAAATCCTATATTTGGACACAATTACACTAATGTTTATCACTTTAGGTATATCTGCAAATTCGAACTGAAACATAATTATTTAATATTAAATAGACTAATAAATGTTTGCACAATATGGCGGGTGGTTGTGTATAATCATGCCATCGTCCATGTTGTCTTTAGGTTATTAGAATATTTTGGTGTTGCCTGCAGGTGTTATACAACAATTTGACAAATGTCTGAAATGAAATACCGACAGAGTCGAATGATTCACCCAGAATTTGTACCAGATCTATATCTTCTGTTTGAACAGTTGATAAAACATTTTGAACCAATATGCATACGTTGTTTGTCTTAAAACATTGACAGCAGAAAGTTAGGTTATGGTGAAGTTGTATACCAACATAATTAGCATATGTACAGCCTTTAACAGTTACTAAACAACAGTTGTATAAGTGCTTCCGTTGGGAGCAATTTGTTGGCTAAAGTAGTAAATTGCACAGCAAAACAACAAGACTCGGGTAAGTTTTATAAACGTTACCATGGATGCCACAACACAACCATTTTGACTAACGTGCAAATATGCCGTATAAAATAGTTGTATAAACGTTTATGCAACAGTTAAACATTTGCCCTATAAAGTGTTGTATAACTATGGTAAAAGAATATTTTAAACACCTCACTTTAGAGCAAATATGTTGCAGAAAGCAAATTTGCATTCCACACAACATTAAGCCAGCATTTTGGTGTTCAGGCAACAACAATAGAGAGCTTTTATGGCTGAACGGTTCTTTTAGCAAAAGCTTATACCACTACTTTGCTAGTTGGGCGGCTCTTTGGCAGAACTCTGCCATCCATCGAAACCGGTTGAGAGCTAGGACGCTTTTATTCGTCAAGGTACATACTATATTTTGGAAGCAACTGTACAAGACTGTTGCGTCGCCAAGCAGTGACAACCTCCAGGTCTCTCGTCAGAGAGGAAGTTGCTGATAGTCTTCTTTTTTGCTGTGGATTACAGGAAATGAGGTCGTTGATATATGAAAGGTACAGGGTTGGAGCCAAGGCCGATCTCTTGGGAATACCCTCGTTGACGTTGTGGGATGAAAAGGAGAACCCCTCAATTACGACGGATACCTTCCACCCATTTGCGAAGCTTCTCTGCGAGGCCCTAGGATGGAAGTTTGCATAAGGGGGCAGCATGGCACAGCTGATGAACGCTTTGGTGATATCAAGAGCAACGACATAAGCCTTACGAAAGACTGGATGAGTTTATTCTATAATTACGGGACGTAGGCTAGGAGGTCCCCTGTGGATCGCTGGTGCCGGAAACCATACTGCCTGTCGCTAATCAAGCCGCGACGTTCGAGGTAGTCCAGAAGCTCGCAATTTATGCACCTCTCCATCACCTTACTTAAAACAGAAAGCAGAGCTGTAGGCCTGTAGTTGTAAGGGTCGGTCTTAGATCCCTTTTTTGGAATGGGTTGGACATGAGCAAATTTCCAGTTTTCTGGGAAGGTGCCGGATTCGTAAGACATCTGGAAGAGGTGCAAATTAACTAGAGCAAGCTCCGCTGTTCACCTCTACAATACAACGGCAGAAATCAAGTTCAAACCAGAAGCTTTGTTGATGTCGAGCGACAAGAGCATCCGTCTTACAGTCTTATGCCTGAATGTTACTGTCCGCATAGTGTAGAACCCTTTGAATCGACGGCACTCTGACGTGGTGGAGTTGTCAGTAAAGATTTTGGCAAGCACCTCCGCCTTAGCCTTTGAGTCGGTTACAATCACTCTATGCACACACGTAAGTGGTGGAAGGCTTGGAAGGCTACTCTGTGACAAGTTCCATTCAATCTGCTTGGCTGTCGTTGCTATTGATCAAAATGCATTCAATTCCTTACTTGACTTGAAGTGTAATAATCATACGCAGCCAATAAGTTCGTTCTGTGTGTGCAAAGGACCTTTCATAACTACACTATGCAAAACAAATCACATCAATGGGTCGGCGTCATTAAAAAATACGAAGCATGCTTCTATCAATTGACGACATGGGCTACTTTGAATGTGACTTCTGTTTTAAAAAATAAATTCGTTTCTAACTAGGCTTTTCGGACTCGAGTAGCCGGGTCGGGAATACCCGGGTATCCAAGAGTTTTCAGACCCGGGTAATATTTGACGAACAACTCAGGTATCCGGATATCAATAAAAATTAGGAAATCTTATTTTTCAGTGTAATAAACTGTTGGCGCCCTAGAAAAAAATTCAAAAAGACACTTTTTGTTAAGAATGACCCAAAAAACCTAGAAAAACTTTGTCTTAGTGCGAGAAAAACAATTTTTGGAATTTTTAAAGCTATTATGTTCCTGGCAACATGCAGATTCGTTAAAACAGGCGCTTTTTGAACAAGGTTATGCAGTGAAAATATAAGCCAGTTTTTCAAAAAAAAAAGAATGTTGGAAATCTCCAAAAACTTAGAATTTCACTAAAACAAAATTTTACAATCTAATACGCCATGACGTGAGCTATCTACAGTTGCACGTTATATTTACAATTGAAAATACCTGAGTACCTGGGTATTTAAAAAAAATCTTTTCAAAGACGTACCTGTTGCTGATATTGCTGCTGTTGTTGCTGATAGTGCTCATGGTACTGCTGCTGGGCCACATACTGTTGCGCCCTCTGGTCATTCTGATTAGGTTGCTGTTGCCAGTACCCGCCCCCTCCTCCAGGTGGCGGTTGATCTCCTTGCTCCGAGTAAGCTGGATCTCCACCACCACCGCCCCCTGCACTGGCCGTCGGTACGCCCTGGAAGTACTGGCGCGCACCCTCCAGCACGTTGGTGAAGGTCACATCCATACTGGACCACCAGCAGGCAGGTGATGGCGCCTTCCTGCCAAGGCCCTACCACCTGGAACAACAGAATAATACCTTGAACTCCATGATTTTCTGATCAAACGAAACCACACAAATATTTATTATTATTATTTATAATATTCCTCTACAGTGTTAATGTGACTTGTGTACACTAGTGTCTTAAGATAGCCCCACAAAAAGACATCTAAACTGTTGACGTCTGGGGACCTCGGTGGCCATTCTTGGTGCCCACCGCGGCCAATCCAACGATTAGTTAAGATAAACAGTTTGTAAATAATTACGAACCGCTGCACTGAAATGCGCTGGTGCACCTTCATGCATGTACTACATATTGTTTCTTATTACTAACGGAACATCATCAAGCAAAAAAGGCAACTGTTGTTGAAGAAAATTGAGGTAAGTCTGTCCGTCAAGTCGTCCCGGCAAGAAGAATGGACCAATAAAGTGGTTGCCAATAATTCCTGCCCATACGTTAACCGAAAATTGGTATTGGAAATGGGTTTCGGTCACGGCATAGGGATTTTCTTCTGCCCACAAATGAGTATTGTGGATATTCTGAATGGCATTTCGAGAAAAATTAGCTTCGTCCGTGAACAGAATTATTGGTTCAAATTTCGGATTTTGTGTAATTTTTTGAAGATACCACTGACAAAAGGTCACACGCCTTGGAAAACCAATGGGAAGTAATACCTGTACTCTTAAAATATGGTAAGGATATAACAAAAAACCCACTAAAATTCTCCAAACAATTTGATGACAAATATTTAAGTGTCTAGCGATCTTTTTGTACTCTTTTCAGGCTGTTCGTCGACTTCGTGCAGCACTGCTTCATCAATTTCAGGTGTTCTCACACTTGAGGTCTACCTTCAGATGTCCCTTTTCGGACAGAATCCGTCTGGCTTGCTCACCATTACCGTCGGCAAGGCCATATACAGTATGGACAAACCCCGAAAAGTTCCCCCAAACCATAACAGACCCGCCTCCATGTTTGAGAGTGGGCAAAGTGTACTTGGGGTTCAATCTTTGTCCACTAGGACCTCTAACGTAATGAACACCATCTGATCCAAACATATTGAACTTGGATTCGTCACTGATACATACCATACCATACTCTTCCAGTCACAGATGCTCCAATCAAGATGCAACCGTGCAAATTGTAATCGGTCATTACTGTTTTTCCTCGAGATTAGCGGCTTCTTACTCGGGCGACGTGCAAATAACTTCAAATCATTTAATCTTCTACTTATAGTTTTCGTAGAAATACTGACAATTCCTTCTGTCTCGATTTCGGCTTTTATTTGTCTTGGGGTTTTCAACGGATCATTGGACGAAATTACTTTTATTAACCTAACTGATGTAGCATTTAGTTTTCTAGGCCAACCACCTCTCTTAGAGGCTTCCAAGATACCTTTTTGTTTATATTTGTTCAATATTGTCCAAACTGCTTTACGCTTCAGCTTCAAATTTTTGGCAATGCCGACCTGACGTTGACCATCATTATATAACTCAACGATCTTAGTTTTCACATAGAAAGACATTTCAGGACCAAAAACTAATCCTATTCTGACACGAAACTGTACTAAACTAATGTTGAAAAGAATTTGTCTACATATTTTTGTCCCTCATAAAAAAGTGCTTATATTCAGACTTGTATTGTGTTCATTGCAGATAATGTAAAAACAAGGAATTTAGTTTTTCTACTAATAACGCATTTGTTCATGGAGCAAGTATGAATTCGTTTTCTAAAGGTATTTAGGTAAATATTCATATTCGTCTATATACTTTTGTCCATTACTGTACGTGATGCATTTCCGCCATTTCTGCATTTGAATAATTCACCATTATTAACAAGATTGTAAAAACCAAATAATGAAAAAGATGTCACAGCAAACAGATTTGAATAAAACAGACTCGTCAGATGTCAAAAGCCAGTGACATATTCCAGAGCAACTAGATATTTATTGCTAAATTGCATTCTTCAAATATTACATTAATTTTCTCGGACAACAGAACGGTTTTTATTTTTTTACTCAAAAATGGCGCATCGAAGGAAAACATTTCAAGAGAGATTGTTTTAAATTGGACGGGGGATACAAAAGATAGTTTTTGTTTGGCAAAAAACCGTTGGCATACCATTTTTTTCTTAAAAATATCGAAGTCAATACCCATACGCACGCCACTGTTAAAGCTAAAAATTATTTTTGCATTGAAAAATATGCAACTTTATTCACTTTCACTACGTACTAAATATCAGTGAAATATCTGAAGCGGTTCTGAAAATACTAATTAATTTGCATTTTCGTTCCTAAAACATTTTTGGAACATAGTTTATAGAGCAAACTAACAGTAATTTTTCATGTAGATTCACACACAAATATTCGCATTTCATTAAGGAACACCCTGTATATCATTTGCATTATTTAAGCGGTAAAAACGGAGTTGCAGAAGGCATAGTTAACAAAGCAAAAGTGTCAAAAAGCATCTTCCAGATTTGCACAATGGCTTGGCAACGTAGCATCGTGGTGGTATCGTCCGGTTCGTGGTCGACTAGATGACCTACATCCTACATTCTCTCGTCGAATGCCGCTTGCCGAGAGCGAGAAGCAAGATCGAGAGCCATAAAACCATACCACGGCACCGCGCGATTTCAGCCGACCGAGTAGACGCAGGCGACGGCGTCCACCAGTTCGAACTTGATCTTTTGACTCACTTGCCGCTGTAACCTACACACTAAAATATAAATAAACAATGTGGTCAGGCCATGCGTGCCTTTGTTTATAAATGCGAATTCTTGTTATTAAACGATTAACGAACGTTTTACATTTACATTATTGGATGATATGCAGGGTATTTTCAAAGTTGTCATTTATTTTAAGTGCTTGTAGGACTCGTCAGAAGAAGTTGATATATCTAAGTTGCATAACAAAAGAGATAGTGAAAGATTAAAAATTTTCAAAAATAAGTAATTTATTACACAATTTTTTTGATAGTCTCGACCACTGCCGTGTAAAATCTTAACGTTTTTTTTTGTTTAGTACATCGTTTATCTAAATTCGGCAAACTTTTTGGATTATTTAGCCATATTCATAAAACAAAGGATATCCTTGTACTTGCAAATTTTGAAGGAAATCCTCCAGATGCTATTTATAATAATTTGAAGTAAATGTTTTTGCTTTTTGAGTATAAGCATATCCTTCAAAGCAGTGACATAAGTAAAAGGATATTCATAATCTTCACCTTATACTTGGCATAGGAAGCATATACTTCAAAAATTCTGAGTGTGGTCAGTAGCAGACTCAACTTCGTAACGAAAGGTGGCCAGACGATGATGGCGGAAATTGTGGATGTTAGGGATGTTAAGACGTACAAACCTCGTTTACCTTCACTTGGTCGTGACTTCAAAAAATTATATCGGTTCGACGAAGCAAATGTACAATGGCTTGCGGAGAGATTTTTAGTTGAGAATAAGCAAACTCGAGGATGAGCACTTTCATGTATTCATAAAATGAAGATATGCCTATGCTATCTCGGTGACCCTGGATATCAACAAGGTATTATTGGTCAGGAACTTGGTGTTAGTCAAACAACGGTATCTCGGACTGTAGATAGAGTTGTGAACAGCATACTTGCACAGTCGAACGAATGGATCAAGTTTCCAACTACCAACCATGAACTGATGGACGCCAAGCGGATATGGCAACGTATGTATAAATTTCCGACAGCAATTGGTGTAATTGATTGTACACATATAGGAATCTTGAAACCAAATCGCCATGGAGATGAGTATATCCACCGAAGTGGGAAACCTACTTTAAATGTGCAAGCCACTTGTGATCCAAGAGAGACGTTCTCAAGTGTTGATGTCAGCTGGCCTGGATCAGTACATGATTCCAGAATATGGAGAAATTCACAGATTAGATCACAACTAATAAATAAAGCAAATGTTGTACTACTTGGCGATGACGGTTATGGTATATCTGGAGTACAACTGTCAGTGATGCTGAGTGAACGAACTCCCACGTCAACTACAAGCTGGAACAAGTCAGGAATGTCTCACAAGATACAAATACAAGTCAACCTTTTACTTCTTCTTGAAGGATATCCTCGCGAGTATAAGGCAATCATCATGAATATGAAAACAAGGATATGCTTATACTTCTACCTTTTCCTCCGAAGCAAGACCTTATACTTTTACCTTATGCATCCGAGGATATGCTTTTCTTTTATGAATACGGCTCATTGTATGGTTTTCAGTACGAGTCTTTGATTCGATCAATTGTATCAGTCTTTTAATAGTGCGTATCCTTTCATTTGTCTGATTATTTTGTGCGAAAAATGGCCCATGTTCACGAAAACAATGAACTTGTGGATATAATACTAACAAAATGCAGTCGCAGCATGCATGTTGTATGCGGAAAGGTTTCCTTTAAGAAATCTTCCGGCCTCACGGATGTTTGTAAATTCAGTTACTAGACTTCGTGACACAGGATATACAAAAGAACAACGAGGAGGTCACGCTGAAAGACCTGCTCAATCTGAAATGTTAGAAATTGAGGAACATATTTCAGAAATGGTCGAAGACGACCTAACAATGACTGCTAGAGTCATAGTAGCTCAAGTTGAAATTTCTAATAGTAAAGAGTGGAAAACAATACCACAAGAACAGTATTATCCGTATCATTATCAACGGGTACAAGCGTTACTACCTGAAGATCATTCTATAAGAGTTGAATTTCCCAGTGGCTTTTAGACCAGTTCCGCAGAAATGAAGATTTTACGAAATTAATTTTGTGTACAGACGAGGCTCCATTTACACGAAATGGAGTGCACAATTTCCACGACAATCATGTTTGGGCAGTATAAAATCCACATGCTGTAAAAAGAACTCATTTTCAACATAGATTTTCATTAAATGTTTGGGCTGGCGTGGTAAATGGCACGCTTATTCAACCCTACTTTTTTCCATCTCGACTGATCGGTGAAATTTATTTAAATTTTCTTCGACACAATCTGCCACAATTATTAGAAGATGTT